AGCAATATATATATGTATTGATTTATTTTTTTATATTATAATTTATTATCATTAAAATGCGATGTTTCAAAATGTTGTTCAAAATGTTCCTTTTATTTTATGTTATAAATTTTTGTAATAAAAATAAATTTATATTGTAATAAAAATTTATTGGAAATCTATTCATTATTCTTATAATATTTATAATTCTTAATAATAATAATTGTTATTATTATTTATAATTATTATTTGGAAGTTGCCCGGGAACTACTTTAAAGCTCGCTGGGAGCTCTTAAAACATGATTTTTGAGCTTCCTTTGAGCTTAAATAAAGCTTCCAGTGAGCTCTTAAAAGCGGACATAGGAGCTCCCAGAAAGCTCCATGCAAGTTCTTTTGAAGGTTAATTTAAGCTTACAAAAAATTTTATGAGCTCCCCGGGAGTTTCCCGGGAGTTCCTCGTGCTGTGTGGGAATATATTATATTTACCGAGAGCGCATTAATAATCGTGAGGAACTTTAGGAAAAAATAATCGAAGCATTTGCAATTATAACACCAGAAATTGCTGCACGCAGCAAAATTTAATTTAATGCCTCGCGGTCGTTTGGGAAATTCGATAGATGCGGGATTATTTGGAAGAATATCGATTCACCGTGATCACCGATTACCAATATGAATTAAATCAATTAAATTGGTTTTAAGCTGTAAATATATTTACAGCTGATACAAAGACAGGAAGCTCTAGAACAATCAGAGCAACAATGTCTCCAACAACTCTTTCAAAGGCTGGAAGCCTTAAAAATAAACATAAGGAGAGCCAGAAAAGATGACAGACGCTGCGGAAGCCGGTGCACCGGCAAAAATGGCTGCGTTTGTTCATGCGCGATGTGCGCTGTAAAGTTCGGCGTGCGCAATTATGCATCCAATGCGACGGTGGAAATTTCGAACATTTTTTATAATAAGTTCGTAATATTAAATTTTTATTTAAACTTTTAATACAAGTTAGCAGATTTTTTGCAGTTTGGTATGTGTTGAATTGTTTTGTACAATACGAGCGTAACGTTCAGCGACAACATTAATTCGTCTGTTGAGCACTACAAATCCTGTTTTCCGCATCCGATGCAGCAATCGCAAAACTACGTTGTGACTGATCTTTCTACGTTCCGCATAACGAACCTCGACTTCCACAAACCTTTTGCCTTTAGACCGACGCTAGCACGTTCGGACTAAACGCCGTATTTATACAAAATTTTGACGAAGGCGAACGCGTCATCACCTACGCTAGCCGCCTACGTTAACACGCTAAATCCCGCCGAAAAGAATTATAGCGCCACCAAGCTCGAATGCCTCGCGGTTAGGTTAAGTCGTTTGGAGAAATCGACAGATGCTGGATTACCTGGAAGAATATCGATTCACCGTGATCACCGATTACCAATATGAATTAAATCAATTAAATTGGTTTTAAGCTGTAAATATATTTACAGCTGATACAAAGAGGGCTGATACAAACAGGAAGCTCTAGAAAACCGGTGGCGTTCCTCAGCAAAAAGCTGATCGCCGCGCAGCAGAAGTACAGCCCATACGACCGAGAGCTCCTGGCGATCTATGCAGCAATCAAGCATTTCCGGCACTGGTTGGAAGGAAAGGAATTCACCAGGTACACGGATCATAAACCGCTCGTGTACGCATTCCGCAAGGATCCTTTGCAGAGCTCACCGCGGCAGACACGGCACCTGGAATTGATCGGGCAATTTTCAACCGACATCAGGCACGTAGCGGGAAAGGATAACATCGTAGCAGACACTATCAAGGACGCAGGCTGTCCAGCAAGCCGTAAATTTTGCAGAGCTCGCGAAATCACAGAAAGACGACACCAAAATACGAACTTTACTCCAAGGGACTACGAAGCTCCAGCTTAAGGAAACCGCAATTCCCGGCACGGATATCAAGCTAATATGTGATACGTCAACGGGCATTCCACGCCCATACGTCACGCAATCATTCCGGAAGCAAATCTTCAGGCATTTGCACGGACTAGCACACACGAGGATTAAAACCACCGTCAAATTAATTACGCAACGCTTCGTGTAGACCGGCATAAAAAAGGATTGCCGCAGATGGGCGCAGGCCTGCGTTCCCTGCCAAAAATCCAAGGTCCACCGACACACCATCTCACCAACGGGAAATTTCATGGGGCCTACTAGCAGGTTCCAGCATATTCCGTCTAATACAGATCCCTTGAAGAACAGCGTCTTCATCAATGCAATGTCTAATCGTGAGAACATATGGTGAGCTGATTGCAGACGACTCCTCGCTAAACAAGACTCTACTCCCAGAGTATCTAGACTATTACGCTACGGCGTTATTATGGTTTAGATTTATAAGTCTTAAGGTAAAGCTTAAACAACCTATAACACCTGAAGAGCGAGAAACACTGCTGCAACTGGATCAATTAACCTTTGCAGTACCCGAACCTCTTTTATTACAACTAAAAGTATTCGGCACTACCCAGACGATGACTCGCGAGCATTTATACCCTGAGTTTCCACCATTACCAACTGGATTATCCGCGACGTTTGGAGGGTACTACGGACCTTTAACCGTGGCAAACCACAACCTATATGAGAAGATATCATGTTTAGGTGTCCTCAGTGAGGCAGTTAGACACTCTATCAGCAATGAGGCTCCAGGACCTTATCCTTCCTCTTTGTCAACTGATACCCTCACAGCAACCTCAAACCTATTAGGTTTTAGATCTTTAAGATCACGCCGCAAAGAATTTAGCTTTTGACTGCGGTATCACGGCAGATGCTTTTCCCAGCTTTCCATTAAACACTGGGATTAATATTGATTTAATCACTGCCATATCAGCTGTGCTTGCACAGACAAAAACTTTAGGTTCCAGCATATTCATATGGACATCGTCGGATCATTACCTCCATCTCGAAGGAAGAAGTACTGCCTCACGATTATCGACAGATTCACACGATGGCCAGAGGCATACCCGATGTCCGATATCACCGCGGAAACGATGGCTCGCCTGTTGTTCGAAAATTGGATCGCGCGTTTCGGAGCGCCGGCACGAATCACCACGGACCAAGAGCGGCAGTTTGAGTCAGAACTGTTTAAGCAGTTGGCCAGACTGACCGGATCGCAGCACATCCGAACCACCGCTTATCACCCGGTAGCCAATGGCATGGTAGAAAGACTGCACCGGCAACTCAAAGCAGCTATCAAAAGCCACAAAACCGAAGCATAGACACAAATTCTTCCAGTCATCTTATTAGGCATCCGCGCCGCAGTAAAAGAGGACATCGGAGCCACACCAGCAGAGCTAGTTTTCGGAGAGACCATTCGGATTCCCGGGCAATTTCTGGACCAAACCAATAAAGAGTAGCCAACGGATGAGTTTGTGCGTCATTTACAAGAAAAAATGAGCAAACTCCGTCCGCACTTACAACGACATGGCCACCGCAGCACCTTCGTGCATAAGGACCTAACCAGATCAGAGAAAGTTTTCGTCAGACACGACTGCCCGACCAGAGCGTTACAGCAACCATACGACGGACCATACAACGTTTTAAGCCGAAACGACAAAGTCTACAAGCTATTGGTCAACGGCAAGCCAATCAAGGTCTCAATAGACCGATTGAAACCGGCGTACACGATGGACGACCATGAGCAGCCAATAGAACCAACACCAGCCGACCAACCAAAGCCCTCCGCAACCAATAAGACAAGGAGCGGCAGAACTTCAAAACTAGCCGTGCGTTTCCAGGCTTAAAAACTGCCAAGGAGGTTTGCGAGAATCCGTGTGTGACAGTTTTGCGAGTGAGTCAAGAAAGTTTTGAAAAAAAAAATGGCACAGTTATATATGAATGAAATTCATGTAATTGGACATTTATTAAGGACCTTGACGGTGGCAATCGTCGAGTCAAATAAAGAACAGACTGACTTTACCAATAAAGAGATAATTTTAGTTACCGACGTTGAGTTGTGATTAGCAACTATTTAACAAGTTATTGATTTATTGTCATAGAAATAATGTTTATCTTGACAACATTTGTATTTTGTTAATCAGTTTTATTTATTCTCACTCTTCATCTGTACATTGTATCGTCAACATCAAGCTAAAATATAGTTATCTAAAAACACAATTTGATCTTTTCTTTATTCTATGTAGTAGTTCTCATTTCAACCGCTACAAAGCTTTCTCGCGATCAAGCATCGATCGAAGCTGTATAAAAGAGCTTCTCCGCAGACTTTTCTTTACTCACTCGCTTCAAGGCGAGCTCTCTACAGGGCCCTTGACTTGAGTCTTACTCTGCTTTAGCAGAGCGTAACCAGAGGCAAATTTGTCTCGCCGTTTTTCTCACGTTGCCTCGCAAGGCACGTAAAAAAAAAACAGAGTCCCAGCTTCGGCCGCACACTTCAACCAAGCGGCCCGCTGACTTATCAGTACCGCCGTCACCTTCTCAGACTCTAGCGTGGAAGCTAATTCCCTTAGAGTTCTGCGTCCGGTTGACTCGGCCACCAAGGGACACTCTCGTTGCTGGCGACATCCGAATTCGGAGACCTCTCTCTCCTCGGTACACAGAACATTCTGTTACGCCGAAAGCCGAGACGGTTGCAGCTTCAGGCACACCGGAAACTCGTTCCGTGGCCATCCAGACTTCGCCGCCTAGAGCTTGCTCGGAGAGCAGCTGCAAGACGGAAGACCACTTTCCAAACGGAGTTCCTCCAACACCAGGAAAGGGGCTAAACACCTGCAACGAGCCAATTCAATAGAACCGTCTTTTTTAGGACCCGTTCAATATACAAAGACGCGGCCGGTAATTTCTTACCGCGCCCGTCAATTTTTCTTTTAAACTTTTCGGTCTTACACACATATCGAGAAAGCGCCTCTGGCGCAATCAATTAATTCAAGCATAATATAGCACCTATATATACTCAATTCTCTGACGAAGAAAATAAATTATATTTTCTAACGAAATTGGTTTTCACAAAATCTTTAACCAAGTCGAACACATCCTTTGGGCGATACGCCCATAAACTGGTGACCTCGACGACTGGTTAAAGGAAATGAGCCAATCAGAGAAGGCCGGCGAAATGCCAGGCGCCGACGCAGCACAAATCGGCAGAGTATCGGTGCGAGTACCACCATTCTGGCCGGAGGAACCAGAATTATGGTTCGCCCAATTGGAAGGCCAATTTCTCCTTGGTGGAATCACGCAGGATGTCACAAAATACGCATACGCAATATCCCAGATCGACACAAAACACGCTAAAGAAATCAAGGATGTAATCACACCATCACCAGCAATTGGGAAATATGAAACAGTAAAGAACGCACTTATTCAAAGGTTAAGTGTTTCACAAGAACAACGCATCCGCCAGCTTCTAGAGCGAGAAGAGATGGGCGACCGAAAACCTGCACAATTCCTGCGACATCTAAGAACACTGGCACGAGCAACCGTACCTGACCAATTACTAAAAACATTGTGGATGGGCAGACTGCCCGCACAATTACAAGCCATCCTCGCAGCACGCATAGACGACCAATTAGATGATAACACAGCGTTTCGTGTGGCCAAATATCAAAGCAGACTGTCAAAAATGGACACAGGCATGCATACCATGCCAGAAAGCCAAAATACACAGGCATACAAGTACACCAATAGGAAGTTTTTTCGGGCCAATCAAAAGATTTCCACATGGCATATCCACATGGATATAGTGGGATCGTTACCGATGTCACAAGGAAAAAGATACTGTCTAACTATAATAGATCGATTTACACGCTGGCCAGAAGCCATACCCATAGCAACAATCACAGCAGAAACTGTAGCTAAACAACTCTTTACCCATTGGATTGCACGCTACGGGACACCAGCAAGAATAACAACGGACCAGGGGCGCCAATTCGAATCCGATCTATTCAAACAATTAACAAAACTCACAGGATCACAGTATATACGTACAACAGCCTATCACCTAGCAGCCAATGGGATGATAGAAAGACTACACAGGCAACTAAAAGCCGCAATCAAAGCACACGAAACCGAAGCTTGGACCGAAATGCTATCTGTAATTTTCTTAGGAATCCAAGCAGCCATAAAAGAAGACTTAGGAGCCACCCCGGCTGAACTAGTCTATGGGGAAACAATAAGACTTCCAAGCCAATTATTAGAGCAACAAAAAAGAAAAAAAGAGCCAATAAACGAATTTGTGAGAAACCTGCAACAAACCATGACCAGGCTCAAGCCTCAGATCCGCTGTCATGGAAATAGAGCGACATTCGTACACAAAGATCTGGCAGCAGCAGAAAGAGTATTCATAAGACACGATGCCCCAACAAAAGCACTCCAGCCACCATACGACGGTCCATACAAAGTCCTGGAAAGAAGCGATAAAATGTTCAAGGTCCAAATCAACGGAAAACCTGCAAACATCTCCATAGACCGATTAAAACCAGCATACATAATGGAAGAGCCTACAAAAGAGCAAGGAAGCTCAAAAACATCAGATAAACAAGAACCCCAGAAAACCAGAAGTGGGCGACCAATCAAACCAACCGGGGGATTCCGGACTTAAAGACAGCCAAGGGGGTCCTGTGACGGCTAAATAGCCAACCACAAATAGAGACAGAAATACCGTCGTTAGACGGAAAAAAATTTTTGTTACCGAAGAGATTTGTTGGAGTACACTTTTCATCGCCTGAGGTCAGCGAAGAAAAAATTTTCGTTACCGAGAAGATTTGTTGAGGTAAATTTTTCATCGCCTGAGGTCAGCAGCAATACCTCAGTAACAGTACCCAAGTGCACCCACTTGCTAGCCGGTAGCTGATTGTGGCGGCAGCGATACGCAATTCCGGTAATTTATTTATTTATTAATATAAAATATAAACGTGTGGGCACCCTGCTGCGGGATGATGTCGTCAGGACCCTCTACTCGAGATGCACTACTTGGTCGCGACAAAGTATCGACTAGTTTTACTTTTTTAATTCGCGGCCCAAACTACTCGAAAAACTGTGTGAAGAACTTGGCAAAAACTGCTTGAAGAATGATGTATATATAATGTATGTAAATCTGTCTAATAACTATATCATGGACGAAGTAGCGTCCATGCGCGAGTTAGCCACCCGCGCAGCTGAATACGAAGAGATCCTCGTACGCAGCAAGGAACGACACCGGAAAACAGAGAACGTTACGAACTTGGCCGCAGCAGCATATAACCGGGACGAATGTTGCTGGCGCTGCAAGCAGCGCAGTCACACCTAGGCCGACTGCAAGAGGCCTCCGAAGAAGTTTTGTTCTTGCTGCGGGAAAGACGGCGTCTTAACTCGCGACTGCCATCCGCCATCGGGAAACACCGACCGAACTGGAGCCGGTGCGGACACCGATCGGTCCCCGTCGACATAATTTATAGATCGCGACCACACCTTCAAATATCTTGCTATCTTAAAAAAAAATGCGGCGGAACAATGGTCCACACCGACCACCGTCCGCAAGGTGCGCCATTTTTGGGAATGGCGTCATGGCCGAATGGTTTCATCGCCCGGGGTCGGCGATGGAAAAAGTTTTGTTCCCTAGGGCATTTGTTGGGGTAAATTTTCGTCGCCCGGGGTCGACGAAGAAAAAATTTTCGTTACCGAGGAGATTCGTTGGGATAAATTTTTCATCGCCTGAGGTCAGCGAAGAAAAAATTTTCGTTACCGAGGAGATTTGTTGGGGTAAATTTTTCAGATATTTTCTAAATACTATATTATTAAACAATAATCGTAGTAAAAACAAGCTATTAGAGCAGGAGCTGGTTGAAATTGCTTAAAATTTATTTTATTAACAATATAACAGACGTTTCGGCCTAAAGGAATGTAGCCATTTTCAGTGTACAAATTTTAACATTGATATTGAAGTTATAAATGTGGCGGCTAAATAACCAACTACAAATAGAGACAGAAATACCGTCGCTAGACGGAGAAAAAGCGTAAGTTACAATTTTTACCGCTAGAGGGCTACGACCGGCTAAAACTAACTCGTAGTTAAAAAGCCACGGGCTGCCTATATAAGAACATCAGAAAACAGTAATCAATACGTCCTCGGATCTGAGTGAGCTCACACGTTAGTGGGCCTCAGATCCCAGTACAAAGTAACCCGGCATTATTCGTGGTGTGCCAACTACTCTTGGCCCTTGAAAGTTGCCTTGAGGTGTGCCAATTAATTTTTGGCCCTCAAAGAAATCCGCGGTACCGCCGTGCCGAGACCGCGGAAGAAGAGGCATTACGGAGAACCTTCTCAGCGGCTGCAACTTCCACCGAGGGAAACCTCTCTGTAGCCACCTTCCGAAGGAATAGCCGAGGTACCAACCGGACAATCGCAGTCACTAGACCAGGGGTGCGTTCATAAAGTTTACTTCGAGTAGAGTCAGAGTAGAGTTGGGTTATGTAGGAGTTAACTCTAGGAGTATACAATTTTATGTGACTTTGTGAACGACTGGCGTAACAGTTGAGTTGACAACATGGCAGAAAATGTGAAAAAAGTAATTTATTTTTCTGTGTTTTCTTTTGCGAAAAACTTAATGCTGAATATTCAGATAAGTATTATAATATATAATGCTTTATATCATAATACATCTTTCTTTTATAAGTAGTAAATTTAAACAAATCATTATTATTAACAAAAACATTTTAACTATTCATTATTATTAACAAGTTATTAAATTACAAGTTATTAAGTATACAATTAGTCATTATTATTAACAAGAATCTTTACAAAATGTTCCATAAATATCTTAACTTATTTAAAAATATTGTTTATATTTATATTCTATACGTATTTTTAGGAAGAATCTGACGATGAAGACTATGCAATGTTATTAATTAAACACATTTAAAAGAAAAGCCTAATCGTATTGTTGGATACATAGAAAATGTTGTAGCAAACTATACAAGTAAAGAGTTTCAACAACATTAAAAATAAAATTAAATAAAATACGTTATTGGCACAATTTTACATTGCACGCGTTACATTTACGCTTTACATTGTGTGCGACCATCGTCCTAATAAAAATTACAAAAACTATGGATAGAATTAGAAATAGAGAAGAATACATATGATACAGAGAGATTCTATCTATATTGTATGTTTTTGTCATGGTTTTTTCTGTTTCTAATTGCATCTATCCAAAATTATTATTAATCTTTAATTTATTTATCTACAAACTATAAAAGGTAAAATAACAATTGATTACAAATCTTTTCATTAAAAAAAATATAAAAAATAATAAATAATGGAAAATAAATTACCTGCAACATTTTGTATTAATGTAATACCATTTTCGTTCATAATTCTTTTTCCTGTTTCGTCTGTTAATATTATATAGTTTTCCATTTTTGAAATAATATTTAATAATATTAAAAATAGAAAAAATGCCCCCAAAAGTATGTTTAGCGTAGACAGCGTTTAGGTTATGTAGGTTCCACCACACCATTATCACTTGATTAT